GGCGAGACTGCAGTGCAGCAGCTGTTCCACGGCGCTGGCGTCTTCGTGACGGGGGGCACGGGATTCCTGGGCACTGCGCTGCTAGAGAAGCTTCTACGCTCCTGTCCTGGCGTCAGGACCATATTCATCCTCGTGAGGCCCAAGAAGGGCAAGACTCAAGAAGAGCGATTCTCTGGTCTCTTCGAAGCACCGGTTAGTACAGGAAGCCAGCGAAAGTATTTATGAGACGCCTGCAGACAAACTTGAATACAAAAAGTGACTAATTATTTTAACAAATTCGTAACATTTTGCTGTTTGCAGCATGGTGAGTTTCTAACGTAACCGCCACAATACCCTTCCAGTTAAAGAAGTGTCGCTAAATAATCCAAGGAAAAATTAAATGCAAAAGAACACTTTAGCTGTCACAATCGGATCCTCCAAAGTTCTTCCATTTTCGTTACACGCAATCCCACCCCCCACAAACCATTTTTACACGCCCTGCTACTCTGGAACTCATTTCATCCAATTTAAGTCGAGGATTTTTAAGACGTCTCTTCTCTAAAGGCTTTTGACTTAAATTCTGCATGCATTTCTCATGATGCAATTTTTTCCAACAACCTATAACTTTATCTCTCTCGAATCCAAATATTCTCCGCAACACCCTGTTCTCAAATACCCTCAATGTGAGAGATCACATTTAACAAAACAAGTTCCATTATAATGTTCTCTTTAAATCTTTTTGTTCTTATAGCAGCCGGGAGAACAAAAGATTCCTGAAGTGTCTGGAAATAAGTATTCCCCAAATTTAATGTGAATGCGATGAACGACACGGCAAACAATGAACACCATTTGATTCTCGGTATGAAGACATCTCGTGTGTACAAATGTTTCATTTCCAGTAACCTTGGCCATGTATGTTAGGTTAGAACTGAGTGTACACACACGCGTTGTAGAAATTATTTACGTGTGTGCTGAAAATTATCAACTACGGGGCAGATCAAATATTTTGGTTTCACACAGGAAGAATCACAAGCAGAAATCTTTGTTAACACTCAATTTGTAAAACGGACTTTCACATTGACGTGTGTGCATATGACAAATTGCGTACAGCTGAGTGAAGAGATGAAAGCTGTTTGCCAATCAGGTTACACTTAATCATTAAACGCTGTAATCCTATAATTTTTTCTCTCTTCACCGATTAATTAGCCATGTACGTAAGGAAAGGAACACGGAATCCTGTATCCCGAGCCAGTTGAATCCAATTCACAGCTATCAGTTCTCTAAGATCAGTTTAATATTATCCTTCTCAGTATTCAAACTGGCTCCTTTCCAAGAGGAATGGAGAGAATTGATCACAACCAGACAACACACAGAGACTGATGATGCTCAGAATTAGTACAAAATTGATGACTGCCTTCTGCAATGTTGCGTCAGGTTGCCTGATAAAAATCGATAAACGTTTCAGAGGTACTTACCGCCTCAGTCATTAGGGCGATGGGAACACTCTCATCACCCCGATTATACAATAAGCATCCCTGAACACTTCCTACCAGACTACACAGTGCAACATCCCAGAACACAGCCGTCTTCACACACGTCACCACGAGAACCTGGTATCTCACCCAGTACAAACTTGTATTAACATCCATAAGGTCAGGGCTGACTTGTTTCATTGTGTCCAGGTGTTTGAATCCATGAAGAAGGCCTGTCCCAACTATATGACCAAAGTGAGGGCTGTGGCCGGTGACTGTGGGTTGCCCGGCTTGGGCCTCGGAGAAGCAGATCGCGAGCTGCTATGTCAAGAAGTGAGAGTCGTGTTCCATATCGCAGCAACTGTCCGGTTTGATGAAAAGCTGAAGACAGCTGTCCACATCAATGTCAGAAGCACGAAGCACCTGCTAGAGCTCGCAAGGCACATGCCACATCTCAAGGTACAATCTCAGAATGCCTGGAATCGAACATGGTCCTCCAGTCTGGAACTAGTGTTCTTGCTACTTATAACTGCATCTGGGAGAAACCGCTGACTGGACGATCATTTAAAGACACTGTAACATTGTTGAATCACTTTTAGTGTCACTTGAGAAAAAGACAAACATGGTTTATTGAAACTGCAGTGAGTAAAATGTGTAGTCCAGTTCTTTGGGAATTGATGTTATTTGCTCTTAAGTCCCTGAACTAAAAGCTTACCACAAGCTACAAGAAAACAAGTAAAGAGAGAAGCAGCTCACCAGGTTGTGATGTCTGAAGCTGGCAGTGGCTACAGCCTGGATATCCTTACTAGTTTCAGTTTCAATTTAGAAAACCATATTTCTGTAAAATTTAACTTTCATTACAATGCTATTTCTAATTTTACATAACATGCCAGCCTGGGCAGTGCAGCTGTTTTATCTATGTATCAAAAATTCCTTCAGCTGTTCTGAAATGTGTTCAGTTTCCAATCCCTGTATTCATGCCAGGAGTTCTCAAACGTTTCCAGACCTGGGGCCACATTCAACATTTATCAATTAGCAAGCTACAGGCTTTTAAATTAGGACATAGCAGTTCATTAAAACGGCTAAGTTTTACCTACTGTTTCAAACAGGTTCACATGAAACTTAAGACTTTTCTTTAACAAATTAGTAATTACTGAGATATCTGGATACTGGGAACGACCCGTTCTTCGAGTGCCTGAGCACTGCGGGTCCCAACCTTTCGTTGGCTTGATCTATAGACATTCGGTAGGACTCCTTGGACGAGGGATCGGCCCGTCGCAAGGCCTCGACCTGTACACAGGACAACACAACACAGAAAAACGCGGACAAA